TCGACCACACCTATAGCTGAAAATCTCCCTGTTCAGGACTCTGAGTCCCCTGTCATCTCTGAGTTCTTTCACGGAGTGTGTCCTTTGATAACTTCGGAACTGTCACCAGGTCGCTTCCTGGAGTGGAGGAGTGTCTCGCTGCAATTAAAGGCATGGCAAAAAATAAGGCCCCTGCCTTGACGGCTTCTCGGCCGAGTTCTACCTCAGGTCCTGGGGTGTTCTCGGTCGAGACCTTGTTACTGTCCTAAATCACTGTTTCCTCTCCGGGTCCCTCGCTCTCTCGCAACGTCGTGGCATTATCACCCTATCATTCAAGAAGGGAGACCACCTTGATCCCCGAAACTGGCGCCCAATCACCCTGTTAAACGTGGATTACAAGATTGCATCCCGAGCTATCGCAGGCCGACTCTTGAAAGTGATCCATACAAAGACCAAGCCTGTGGCGTACCTGGCAGGTACATCGGGGAAATGTCTCCTTAGTTCGTGATGTGGTTCACTACACTATGTCCACGGGATCCCCCGCAGCAATCTTGTCACTGGATCAAGAAAAGGCCTTTGACCGGGTAGATTGGGGATTTATGAAGGCTACCCTCTCTGCCATGGACTTTGGCCCCGCATTCATCGCGCGGGTGAGTCTTTTCTATCGTCGTGTGCAGAGTTCTGTAAACATCAACGGGTATCTCTCTCCCTTTTTCTATCTGTCGCGGGGCGTCCGACAGGGTAGCCCCTTGTCCCCCCTCCTCTATGTCCTCGCATCGGAAGTCCTGGCTGCCAGCATTCGCGCTAATCCTCGAATCTCTGACCTGTCCATCCCTGGTTTTCCACCATTATCTCCAAATCTCAGTACGCGGATGACACTTCACTCATCTTGACGTCTGACGACTCTATAAAAGCCTGCTTTGAGGTCTACACTCTTTTCGAAGCTGCCTCCGGTTCTAAACTGAATCAAGCGAAGTCCAAGGGTCTCTGGTTGGGTTAGTAGGTTGGCCGGACTGACCCCCAGTCGCCCTAGACTGGTCGCAAAAAAAGCTAAAGATCTTGGGTGTTTTTGTCGGTCCCGGGGATCTAGAGGTTGAAAACTGGCGCCCTTGCATAGAGGCTGTTAACCATGTTCTCAAATCCTGGCGTAGTCGTTCCCTATCTTTCCGCGGCAAGGCTCTAGTCATCAATGCCCTTGGCCTCGCCCGGGTGTGGTATGTGGCGTCACTCGTCCACATGCCCGCCTGGGTGCGGAAGGAACTTTGTCGTCTTGTATTCTCCTTCTTCTGGTCCGGTAAACGGGAACTTGTGGCCTGCACTGCCGTAACCCAGTCCCCCCTATTCGGTGGCTTTTCTGTTGTGGATGTTTCATTTAAAGTACGGGCCCTGCTCGGCCAGTGGGTGAGAAGGGCTGTCTCCTCCCCATCCGACTGGTGCACCATGTTGTCTTTCTACTGTCATTCTCATTTTGGTGTCACTCCCCTTGTTGTTTTTTCTCGCCCTTTCTCCTTCGATCCCCGTGTCTTACCGCCCTTCTACGAGTCCCTTATCCTTGCTTGGCGCGGCCTTAACGGCTCTTTTTCCACTTGCCACAACCACCTCATCTTTGGTTCTTCCTGCCCACTTGTCTGCACTCCTGCCTCTGACATGTCTACAAAGTCCTGCTATTCCTATCTCTTATCTGAGAACATGGTCCAACCACACTGCATCGAGAAATTCAACCTCGTTTATCCATCTCTGGATTGGCCTGCCACGTGGCGCTCTCTGTCACTATTCGATCTCGTCCGTCTTGTGATAGACCTCAACAGGAAGATTGCGCATGGCGTCCTGTACACCGCCCACCGTCTTGTCTCTTTTGGATTGCCAGTTCCCCTCCCCTGCTTCTGTGGTGCCCCAGTGGAAACACTGGAACACCTGTTCTTCTACTGCCCCCCTGCTCAAAGTATACTCTCCTGGCTCCAGTCTCTTATGTTTTGTTTCTCTTCCATGTGCCCAGTGTTACTCCTCCATCACGTTCTCTTCGGCTTCAACTGTGATGAGCTGATTGCCACCCCCGTATCTTTGTGTACCTTCTCAATCTGTCTAAATTCTGTATCTGGCAATCCCGGAATGACTTCCGCTTCCGTAACACCCGTCCTGGCGCTGTGGCGGTCATGGCTAACATTCTGTCTCGTCTCAAACATCACCTTCCCATCTTCT